TTGAAGATACTACGTATACAAGATAATAAGGTGTTTCAATTTAAAAAACATGCACCCCGCTTTAAACGAGGTTACTGAGTGATACTGTGTAATTATACAAGATCTTTCAATGGTTTTTATCATACATGAATGGGGATGTACGGTATAAATCATTACAGTCACCTTTCAGCTAAAGTCGCATGTTCGTTGATCCCTTGAGTGAAAATAACTGGAGAAACTTGTATTAATTTTCCTTCTTGCAATTCTTTGGGTAAATAACAGAAATATTCTGTTTCGAGGAGTATGGTAACATGAATATTAGCCCTTGAAAAAAGATACACAAATATATGTACTATATATGCAACGGTATCCATGCACCTGTTTTATTAACAGGCAAAAAGAAATCGTCAGGGAGTTTAATAATTAGCATGATACTAAAGGCCCTGTTACACAGTGCAATTTTTCCTGCAACTTGCAATGCAATTCTTCTTTTGAGAGATGTAAATTTGGATACTACCAAACATAGCCTTAAAGCCGTATGATATCGTGCGCTTGCAATTGTATTATACCTTGTTCCAGTGACGTAGGGAATCGTTTCGTTATCAGAGCAAGCGAACTGAAAAAAAAGATGATGAAAAGTTCGCTTAAGGAAATATAAAGAAAGATATAAGAGTTAAAGACTTGGTCAACACATTGCATAATGACGCTGTTTTCTGGACTAGCTTTCTTGTTATCGCCAAAATAAGCCCATGAGGAATCTTCATTCTTTAACCTCACGTTATCCCTTGTCCCTTTACTGCATCCTAATAAAGTGCGCTTGTAAATGATCAGTCACATTTATGGTAAAGAACCTTAAATTTGACACATGAAAGATCGCGTATTGCAATGGACATGTCTTCTAACATTCCCATTTCATCACCTAAAAAATAGAAATATTAAAAACGATTTAGGCGTAAAACAGACCACAACATGCAGACGCTTGCATGGTCGCAATGTTGAAGTGTATGCAAAATACTGAAACCAGGATCGCTAAATAGCAAATACTAGAACAAAAATGCGTTATATAGTCACGGATATTTTGCACCCAGTTTGAAATTTAGCTTTAATCAGCCTTCGCTGAGTTTGTCCAGTGCGAATTTGCATGTGTCAATAACTTGAATTGCTAAAACATGCAGTGTAAATCGCAAGGAACACCCTTCTTATATATCTCCACGCAGAGGTAAAAAAATAGACAGAAAGAGTTCCATGCACCGTAAGTGCAGAAACTTCGTATTAAACAAATATACGTGCTGGTAAAATGTAAGTGTACTTCAGAAACAATTAGATTTTGCGCGGTCAACGCTGATATTATTGAAATTCGATGCCAATGGAAGAATTTTCTTCCCACAGAAATTACGACTACACATGCATGAAGTTACGATTAATTTCGGTTACACTCGTGCATGTACATTCGCAAGAAAAGAAATAAAAAACATAGATATACTTTCCTTTCTTAATTCTAATAACTAACCGTAAGTACTCAGAAGACATTCAAATTCAGCAAGAACACCAATCTCACAAAGTTGTTTCATGAAACTTGCGTCAAATAGTGATGTGTAAATTTTAGCTTCAAATCCACAAATGAGTGCCGTTACCTTAAAACGTTACCATAAAACGGTTTAATTTATATCACCCTTGATCTACTTATATAAAAATAAACTCAACAAGACGCCTGCTCAAAGCGTTCACTCCGCCTGCATGCCAACTGATGAACATAAGTCATCCGTGGACCGTGTAACCCAGGGGCTTCTCGGTCAAAAATGAAGTTGTTTTGGGTTACCTGTAGAAATGCCAACTTCTGTCGCCCAAAACGACGAAAAGGAAAAAAGACCATGGCATTTTAAGACTCCGCTGCGCATACGCAGGCGGAGTAATAACGTAACCTATATATTGCCCACTAGCTGATACAAAATAAAATCAGATCTATACATTGCTTTTCAATTTAGAAATCCCTGACATGACTATTCTTATTACATTAAAGGGGGCCAGTCGAAGATTCTTCGCATGACAGAGTTTATACATTGAATAACTTACTGCCTGTGAAAGACAAATATCGCGACGTTGACGGAGGTCTTGCATAGTCTGGGCATGACGCGATTCTTCCTGAATAAAATAATAAATATTTCCAAAAGTTTATTTAAGAGAAGATGTCGCTATAACCTTTGCCAGGTAATTACATCACTTCATAACACAATATAATATATATGCCACAAAAATATATGGAAATTAGAGACGAAAGATTTTTCTATTATAATGTTAATACGCATTATATCTTATCTCCCTCTGCATGGGGCTTACAGTAACTTGTGTCGATAACTTTACTGACCTGAAGTAGAACGAAAATCATTCCCAAATTTAATTTCTTAATAAGAGCGTCAACAAAATAGTAAACATCATCTACCACGGAATCCAAAGTCTTCTCTCCTATCGTTCGCCAACTTTTCTTTGCTAAGTCTAAGATAAAACGTAGTTTATAGCTACTAGCTTACAAAACAACTCACTCAAAAACGCTTGATCCCAATTGGACAACTCTATTATGACACTTTGAAAGTAAAGGATTAATTTCGTGAGGCTATACGGAAAACCTACCATTCAAAATTAGCGGACTTTCTTTATTCAATTCATTAATCATTTTTAGAATCTGCGCCACTGAACTTTCAATAGAATTACGCAGAACCTATCGAAGAGTAATTTACATGAAAAACGTCCGATTTATTCTCTTCCTATATCCAATCAGTCGGTTTATTTGTGCCAAGCCAAGTTATTCAGTTTATTTGCGGTCAGTCTGCATGTTAGTGAATCAAAAATACCTGGCATTCGGGGTCATCGGCATCCTCCGATTCAGGTTGAAAATCATTTAGGCCTAAAGAATATATGAAAATTTATTACTTAAGTTAGGTACTACATTACCACTGCTTGGTCATTTACTGAATGTGACTTTCTCCCATGCAAGATGATCTCATTTTCAACCCACGCATGCATCTCGTAATCCCGATAACTATTTCTAGTCTATTCCAATTTGCTCCGCATTCGCCAAGTTAAGTTAATCCATGCATATACACACAGTTAGGGACATGTGGGATAAAGGTGATATAAAATATATAGGGTGATAAAAATTATCCCACACATATACCACAAAACGAATTACGAAATCTTATATATAGGAAATACGTTCATTCTACCTTTGTATGTGTATTTCTCACCATATTCTTCACGAGAAGTTGAAGCCGTGGATGGAATTGGACGGGATGTACTCAACGAAACAAGAGAATCGATGATAAACGTCATTTCATAGTATTTTAGAAGATCGTTCACCTACATGAGAAGTTCAATGGGAAATACATGAAAAGCATGCATGGGAAATAAAAAAACAAGGTTAAGACACAAAACCATTATTATCGGATCATTACTCAAGTTTTGTTTTAAAAGGGTCGTGTCTCGAGGCGTCTCGCCGTTGTACAAAAGCAGATCAACTTGCCAGGTTCACAAGAAATAACCGAAGAGGTATATTCTTGGTCTTTGGTATAACTCACCTTTTCGTGCAACTTTGTTGAGAGTTCGATGACCTCCTCCAAGTTGTTATTGGCTAAAGCGCTAAAATGATGACAAGCGTAGGAGAGCTGATTATATATAAATAATTTGTAGATAAAATATGCTCACAATGAACATACAAATGATGTAGTATTTGTTTAAACCGCAAATAGGAAGCCACTTGCATGCGAATAGCGGCCCTGTATGTCATAGTTCCATGCCCGATCCTGCAACGGAGGCGCTGGCGCTATGCGTTACTTGGGCAGATAAAAAACAGCAGTACTTATATCGGAATCATATTTTATACCTTTTAAAATTTTTACATATATCCTTAAATGCATGTTTCAACAGTTCCAGTTCAACTAAAAAAGTGTACAAAGAAATTTATTTGTTATGAGAATGCAGCATATTATTGAAGATACATGAATTAATGGTAATTAATTAATATTGCGATTGCGTCATGTGTTTGGCTTCGATTTTATCCTTTAACCCTTATTATTAAAAATATCAGTAAAAATCAAAACATAAATAACGGACAATCCCTTACTTCTTTTATTCTTAGCTCGGTTTGCTCTGTTGTCACCTCCACTTTGCCTGAACATAAACCAAACAGAGAGATGCAGAGAGTGTTATTACGCCAAAACAAGATGGTAAGCTAGTCAAAAGATCTTCGCGCATGCGTTATACACACACTACACGTTTTACGAATCGGAAGTAAAGCAAGGTGTTTTTACGTACGTAAAATAAGCTTCTTCAGGTTTCCTAGAAGTCTTCTCAACCCTCCTTTACTGTACTTCATTGAATGAGCCGATGGAGCCCCAAACGTAACCACATCATAGCCTTGTTCTAAATAAAGACATTTGGCGAAAAAAAATAAGTGAAACGCTCTTTCGATGATTACATCATTAATACATTTGGTTTTGGGAGTCCTTCTATATTGGATTGAGAGACATAATCACATTCAAACTCATCGAGTCAAAGATCTACATCACGCCGTATCGATTGCATATATATATAAGAGCTTGACTTTCAGTGTCGACCCTTAATCCCTTGTGATTCATGAGAGCGAGGCCCAAATTACGTGATCATCGAAGAAATGCATTAAATGTTGGAATGTTTGTAAAATATTTTAGGTATACAATATTGCTATAACAGTATATTGCTATCAGGCCGGAATACTGAGCACAAATATAGAAGAAAAAATTGATACCATTCGTTCCATCTATGACTTTAAGTCTTTGCAAATGTAAGTTTGTTGTAACAAACGCCAAGGTCTTGTCCGTCTTCAGGCTGCTTGGTTTAAAATTACGCCAAGATGACACCCCTACATCTTGCCTTTCTGAAAAAATCCAATAAATTCAACGCGTCGTAAATTAGGACCAAGAAGAGAATTTTCAACTATCAGGAGTGAATGGGAAGCGAGCGTTACACGCTTTCGTTTGCCCGTCAGTTACGCCTGGATTTTCTCCGCTACTCAGCAAGGAGCTCTCTACAGGTCATGTTCAACATCGCATGGTGAACACGTAATGGATGTGATATTGTGACATTACACTGATGACAGCATGTGGACAGAGTTGCAAAAAAGCTGCGGGTACGCGGGTACCACCCGGAGGAAGGTTTGCTTTGAATGAGGTTTGTGAGGAAGGTTAAAAGTTGAGCACTCTCATTGATCACATGCATGTACCAAAAAAACAAATATTTGTTTATGCTGGTTGCCACTTGACTCACGGCATGACGTAACGTCATTTTGAGCTAGGAAGGTTTTCAAAACTTGAAATCCTACCGGAGGAAGGTTGAACTCTTTTGCAACTCTGCATGTGGAATAGGTAATTGGGGGGTGGTAGCTACATGTGACCAACATTGTATGCATGGTCATTCCTCAACATTTATTAAAATGGCAATATGACAAAAGAATATGAAATTTAAAAGTTGCCATTAAGTATTTCTATTATTACGGCAAGTGATGAAATTTTCCCACCTCTCAAATTATTCAGATGACGAAATGATGCAGTATAATTACTGACTAATTTGAAATGGTTGCCGAGAATTTCCTGACGCACATTGTCCCACTCCGAGTTTAACTATAAATTGAAATTTAAAACATCAAAGTTAAGAGCGAAGATATCCTGATAAATCATAAAAAATGCTTATATTATGGTACTTCAGACTCTACAGTTTCGTGTTTTACTAAAACTACCAGACATTTCGAAAATTTAAATTTTGACTGAAAGGGTTTTAAAAAACACATTTATATATTTTAAAATAGGGAAATTTCATTTTGAACGAACCATGCAATTTGTACCAAATAATCATGAAAACTTTTAATGAGTAATTATGTTAATATTGACAAGAGGCTCAGACAAACGTCACGACAGATACTGGACTTTGCCAAGCAATTATAATATATATAGATCAGACTATCCGCGCATCTTATAAAGAAAACCTGTCGGCTTAGCGTCAGAAATTAGATTTCAAACATAAGACCAGTGAAATGAATATGACAGTTATTTATTACAGTTCACTGCATGAGACACATAAGCATGGGTCAAAATTGAGCCCGCCATGCATGCAATTAATGCAAATAATCACACGGCTAATTGTAGCAAAATACAAGCTGTCGATATGGCACTTACGTCGCCAAGATTATTTAGGTCTAAAATCTTTTGCTTTTCTTCAGTTATGAAAACCTTCCTGTAAGAGGCAATAAGAGATTATGATCGTTGTTCACAATTACACAATTCTTTTCATCATTGCATGATTAACTATAGGCAGTTTCATGCATTAAAAAAGTTAGTCAATTCTATCACATTTCGTCATGAAGTTGCATGCGTGTGTGATAGCCCTATAATGCAACGTAGAATAGATGTGGATATGTATAAGATAGACATGTGGAGTATTATTAGTGGCTAAACCTCCCGATAATTAGTTAAGCTGCTCAGTTCGCGCAATAAGGAAAAATATTTAATTTGTTTTACATTTTACGTATTAAAAATGGTTTATTTATATTGTTATTATATCGGCTCATCAATGAGTATAGTAAATTTAGGTTTTTTTTTGTATAATTATGGTGATTTTGTATTTTGTATATTGATGGCATTCATGGTAATGTTTTTGCGAGACAAAAGAAGATAAAGGTTTCATCATTTGAAATACAAATAACACTCAGTAAGGTTTTACAAGATAGACTCTTGAAGAACACCTGCGATCATATGCCTGGGCTAATCAAGTATAGTCAAGAATGGAAATGGGCTCCATGGAGTTAATAAATTGTATCGTCTATCCATCTATAAAGAAGGCTTAAAAGAGATATTACGTAGCAATAGGCCGGGATAGTTTTAGTTTAACAATATTGCCTTTCAGCCCCTCAGAGCAATGCCGAACACAACAGGATGTCTCTTTCTTTATTTGCAAATTTATAATCCGTGTAAACAATGGTACGTAAACGCAATGAATGCGCTTATTCAAATTAGTATTAATATAATAACAATATTAATACAAACATGCGGGTCGATTATAATATCCACAAAATATCCACATAGGACATTTATTTTAGGCTGTTATTGAACATTTTTCTTGTATGTTCACTGGAGCTGAGTTCCCCATTCTCGTAAAAATTTTGCATATGTTTGACTGATGGTCTTTGTTTGATGTGTGAAAAACAAGACACTCCACTTCGTGAGAAGGCTCCTCAAATACCTTCATATAATGAGGCTTCATTAATCATATACTTAATCCTAAACAATTCATATTGTTTAGAAATTATGACTTTTTCATGAGCAATATCACAAAGCAGTATTACACAATAGTTGAAACCAGCGTACACACTCAGGATTCCGTTCAAATTTTGCTGATGTAACGGCATTTATTCCTACATACGTCATCAGTCGCGCAGGCATCCAAATGTCGCAGAAATAGGGGACAACAGGAAAGATGAAACGGAAATATTATTTGTAATTAAAATGAAGTGAACTCATTCATCCATGCAAATCACTGAGTGATATTGGCATGTACAAAAGGTCCATATATACCTCGTGTATATAAGAACAGAAAAAGGTGCAGGGGTTCAGTTGACCAGATCTAGAGTTGGACAATGGCAGCCTTTCGCTCCAAAACTCTTCTGTTCGCTTTGCTGACAGTTGTTCTATTGGTTTGCACCCGTGGTGAGAGTTATGACTTCAAAGACGAAGCAGAAGGTTTACCATCGGAAAACGAATGGTCGAATATTGACGAAGAGTACCAAGAAGATCATATACGAGTGACACCAAGTTTGATTCAACCATCACGGACAGCAGCAGGCGTTCAGCAAACTCCAACACCACGAGCAACGCCTACTTTGGGCTTTAGCACAACACGAAGGCTCAGGTTTCGAAGGTTCAGATCAAGACGAGCAACGTCAAGAAGAATAACAAGAATAACAAGACCACCAAGACCCACAAGAAGGCCAAGACCTACTTTCCGGCCGAGTGTGAGTTATGCGATGTTATTATAAGCCATGCAGTTAGACTGTTAGAGTTAAATCTCTCGTAAACATTATTTGTGCATGCTTTCAACGATAGCCTTATTTATCGCCTATAATGGCGAATAACCCTAAGTATCTCTATATTTTCATATTAAATACTATATGCAATCATTGCAATGCATGCGTGTCTTTAATAAACAAAAAATAACCCAAAAATATTTAATCTTCTTTCAGGTTTGTCCATTTGACTGTGGTCTAACGTGCGTGGTTCCTAGGCGAACGATCTTCCAGCAAAGTTATGTTTGTGTTTTACCAATCTATACTGGTTGTCAACGGTGCTGCGCAACATATGCTTCATGTCGTAGATCAAATATTCCTCAATGGATATGTTACCAACGGGCATTGGATTGTGTTTGTGGTTACAGATCACGTTATAGAAATATAGATGCTATGGGCGTAGATGTATCGGGAAATTATTAGGCTAAATATCTTTTGAACTGCGTGCATACATAACTAATATTCATGCATTTATATAGTCACTGGGAACTTCTAGAATTCTTTTTGCAATAAATGATAAAGTGTTAAAATAATAAACATGCAGAAAAACAAAAGTGTTTTTGTCTTGGTAATTATTCATTTAGAACAATTTGGGATACCTTAGACTTAGCTAGTCCGAACTTATACGAACACATCCAGGCCGAATAGTGAAAAGTTTCAATACGACACAAGGGAGCAGGCCAAGCAAAGTTTATGCACTCCTCTAAATAATATCCGCCAAATTTGCAAGGCAATTACTAATATCCATGTCTCACTATTGTTGTTTTTGTTAAAGACTCGTTCACAATTGCTGCCATCATCGATTATCTTCCTGATAGATGCTAAAGAATAGAGTCATGAATGTCCAAATAAAGTAACCTATTTCTTAGACCACAGTTAATAAAATATACATGGTTGAAGACTAAATTAAAGTATAATACAACTCATTTCTCACAACAACTTCGTTCCTTTCTCGTCACGTGTCTATATTGTATTTGAGCCAAATTTACCAATGGCATTTGTCTTGCTAAGCTCCTCAACCTTGACTTGAAAATATTTTAATTATAAGATTGCTATTGGTTTATCTGTCCAAAATACAATAGACACGTGATGAGAAAGGTACATTTTTTTGCATAAATCTACCTCAACATAGTTAATGAGTTGTATTGCAGTTTTATGTCGTCTCCTCATTCTTAACTATTTCCTAGTTTGCCTCCGTAAAAGCCCCTGAATACTGCTACAATGCCATATAATGTCATGCATAATTAAAATTTCAAACAAAACCGCCATTACCCTGCAAAGTCGACTGCAATGAAATCAGAGAGACACGTCGTAAGGCATATAGCTATAGGAGCCCTGCTGCATGCATATATTCCGTGGTTTTGAGCAGGTAGAGATTCATGATATTTTGTATCAAACAACAAGAAAGCATGAAAAACACGATCACTAAATTAACGAATAAATTTCGTGGTTTAGGCCAGGCCATATGTTAATATTACTATTGCCACAAGTATATCTAATTAACAATTAGATTACGAGCTCGAGATTTCGGGCTTCGCCCTCATCAACTATCACCTCATAGAAATTGAGAGCAAGTAATCTAATTGTTTTAGTAGAATCAGTTCATCCTCAATCAAGTTCATCCTCAGAAACCTCAGAAAACCGCGAGCCGGAGGCCATTTTTCTAAAAAATACGCCAGAAATGCGACTGTTTGCGTACTCGCTATCTATCAACAATTAGATAGCGAGTAGAGTAGCCAATCAAATTTCAGCATTTGCAATAGTATGCTAGTATGATTCTACTAATACAGATTATACAGTTATAATAATAATGACTGCATGCAATGGAAACAACGATAATCACAATGGTAATAATGACTTTTAGTTATTTGCGTTCTTGAAAGGTATTATTTCATCATCTTCGGACGTCTAAGACGTTCAAGGTCACATTTACAGACAGTGATATAGATATAGTATAGAGAAAGGTCTTTATGATGCAGCAGACATCCCCTACTCTATAAGAAAACTTGAAAATAAGGAGCGGATGCTTACGGCAGCTAATAAAAAAACGTTTTGACGCACACGAAATGACATTTTTATATTGCCCTTTGCTGATTATGATTGTTCTCTTCCTGACAACCACGAAAGCCAATGCTTAAAATATAGTGACATTCATGCATGCAAAACATCAAAATCGCAATCTGAAGATATATTGAATTTTGTAAACGAAAGTGCGCAACCAGTAGTCAGGGATGAATATATGTGTGACACTGTGTCTCACTTGCATACACTTCAGTAATGGTTTGTTTCAATAAAGATATTCATTATATTACTTGGATCTATGAAATGCTTAATTCCAAATTTTGCAAAAAGCAAAAAAGATGCTTTTTAAAACGACCTAGCAATTGAAAAAGCTTCTTTATACGCTGTTTCATTCCAGTGAAGATTAAGACTTTGTTGAGTTTTTTCGAGAAGTTGCATGGCATGCATCCTGCCAACAGACACTCTTTAAATAAGTTTGAAAGTCTGGCACATGAAATGAAAAAGGAAGACGGTAACCTAAAGCATCTTTGTAATGAAATAGGTATCATGGGCGTTGACAATCATGGCCCGAAGGGCGAAATCTCATATAAAAGTTGAAATAGTGCATGTATAGTTGTAATACCAGCTGCTCGGCAGGGGATTAAGGCAATGGCATTATACCACAAGATTCACTCGAAAAGTATTCTGTTCGCGTTATTGCTAATTTTCTTGCTGCCATGTACATATGGTGAGAATTATGATGTTTTCGAAGACGAAGCTGAAATAGCATCAGATAACAAACTAATCGATATATCATCAGAAAACGAAGGTGACGAGCCATCAGAAAACAAATTTTTAAGAATAGGAGATGTGTACCGAGCAGATTTTGGACCATGGCGAGTGACACCAACACCCAGAATTGATGTTAGCCTCATTTCAAAATCAACAGCTGCTAGAGCACAGATTTCTTCAACGAAACAAGGCGAATAAAGGCAACACCATCAGCGGTCTTCCTGACCGTTCAACAAACACCAACAGAAAAACACCAACACCACCACGACAAACAACGCGTTTTGTCTTCCGTACAACCCGACGTATCAGGCAATATCGCACTACCAGGCGACCATTGAGTTTTACATCAAGACGACCTCGAAGCACGTCCAGACCACAAAATGTAAGACAATAAAAATGATACTATTATATTGTGGTAATAAATTTTTCGTGCAACGATGGCGTTTTCCCAATTCACATATATGTATACACTCCTTGAAATACTAAAAAATCATTCTCATGCGTCCATGACTGCAATGAAGAAGTGCACTGTTTTTGAATCCATTTTAAAATCATTATAAATATTTTTTAGTTACAGATCAATCAGCTGATTTTGTCGTGGAAACAGTCCCGCTGAATAACCCTAATATACGACTCAAGAACTTGCTATATGACTCATTAACTTGTAGAAACATCCGTGCATGCATGCATGGTTTAAACATATTATCAATAAAAATATGCGCATGCATGCCTCATCAATAGAAATAAAATACGAATACGTATATTTTTTCTTACTGTTTCTACCTATACTTTCTTTTTCTCGTATCAATTTCTGAAGTTTGATCTCGACGCATATTATATGATTCAGATTATAAATTTGAAATTATATCGCGGTATTTAAGCATTTGCAAAAAGGTAAACATTTTAACGTATTATATAGTCGGTAAACTATAGGTAACGACATTTTAGTTCGAGACGAAAACTAATCATTTTACTAAATGAAATATCATATTTACTCATGACTTACAGTAATTGTTGAGGAATTCTGAACGTCAGAAAGCTTTCGCCCATCATATCCACAAACTTCACCTCTGTACCCAAGCTAAAAAGTATCGAATTGACTTTTCAACCCATTATGATGACGCGATCTTTCGTTGCAGTAAAACCACATGCAATACTTACATTGTAGGAAATCTAAATGATCTTTGTAACATATTGTCGAATTTCGGTCTATATAGAAGATGAAAAAAACACCAATAATAACCGGGCGTCACTCTCCTTGATCTATCTTCCTAAGGCACCCTATAACACAACTGCTTCAAACGATTATCGTTTACGCACTTGTTTATTGAGCCACATCTTGGTCTGAACGTTCCATCAGTGTCCGCCTGAAAATAGGTGAAAAATCTTATTTCAAAGATTAAAAAAATACAATCATTAATACTTGACCAATCTTTCAAGGATGCATAATACAATCTATATTACAATAACCTTATATACCTACCAAAGTATCTTGAACAGTTTCAACCTAAAATACATGCATTATAGTATGACATTTTGTTGTGTTAGTTAGAAAGATTTCTCAGTTAAAAGAAAGAAAGATCTTTGATCTTTTGATCTTTGATCTTTAGATCTATTTTGATAAAAATTATTTTACCTTCCAGCCTAAATGTTATTGTCCCTGAGGCCGTTGGAGAGTCCAAGCCACTAAAACAGACAACATTTCGAAATTGTCATGACATTTTGAAACTGTTGACCGCGGAAACATGTAAAGGGTCCGAAAAAAGAAACATGCATGTTATAAAGGGTACACTAGTATTTGTTTATATATCATCCAATATTTATTCTCTGCTTCTCGGAAAGCATAATGATGAACTCACGTAAGAGAAAGTTGAATTTTCTGATTCGTGGAATCCAATATATCCTTGATTGTACAAACTGCCTGACCCAAATGAGTCATCTAAAAAATTCATCTCACTTGAAGAAGAACCCTGACGTTTTGTGCAATAAGACGATTTGTTTGAAGTTAAAAAATTACATACACTATATTTAGTGAACTACTTGCCTCTTCTTTATCTCGGTCGCGAACATCAAAGACAGCAAGTTTTAGTCTTGTTACCTCACTGTAATTTCCACCAGAAGGTATGCTTATAGTCGTCAAGAAATATGGGTGACGTTTTTGCTAAAACACAAGAAAATCCAACATGCACACGGAAAATTGGACAAAAACAGTATTGGATAAAAATCGCCTCAACAGGTCCTGATCATGCTGTAATACCTCTATTATTTCAGTCTGTGCAAGTCTGGACCAAGTTGCTCCAGGAGGGGTCATAGTACTAACAACTATAACTGCATTTGGATATTTATTCTCCACAGTTGGTTTTAGATCATTGCAAGCTGTGTAATAAATTGACAATATTTAGCTTTACTTAACATATTGTTCAGAATGAGTTTTTCAAAATTCTATACATGCTCGAAAGTTATAATTTACATGAACATTACCCATGCTTATTTCCAGCAACGGAGGTTTGTGAAGCGGTTTTGGTGGTTTTGGAGGCTAAAATTGCACGAAAAAATGTGATAAATTCCGCCGCAAACACGTGAGAGCAACTTCCTGAAGCAACCACTCCGTGAGGCTGCCACTATATGTGCACTATATGTTTTCTCATCGACGCAAAGTTTCCGCCAACTAGAGCTGGCGCGGGCGTATCAATCGATAATGCCGACCAGGTTGTTCACTTGTTGAAGCATTAAGAGGCCGGTGGTTAACCTGGTACCTCAGAGTATAAAGATGGGCACAGGTATATACTTACGTAAACAAATGCTTACCTCGCTGTCGTTATCATCACGAAATGGATGGTTATGCGGTAACGGGTGCTAAAATTAACAAGGGCAGTTTGCAATCCAACGGATATATGCATAATAACTAGCTGTGGATAGACTTGACTTCCCATCCCACAGTTCATGCCCATGCCCAACACGATATTGTTTATAATATTGTTTACCTCACCAGTCATCTCGGTAATCTGTTCACATAGTTTTTGTAATTTTTCTTTAAGCTTTTCGTAGCTGCAAGAATCAATCATCATTATATATACTGCATAGTCATGTAAGCTACGGTTCAATGAAAACTTAAAGGCTCGTTTACACTTGCGATTTTTGCTGCGATTTTGTGTGATTTTCTTCTTTTGATAGATGTGAACGAGTAATTAGTTACGAATGTTCTGGTGTATAAAAGCTCTTATTTGAACATCAGTAACTTATCACTCGTTTACATCCATCAAAAGACAAAATCGCATATAGCCTTAACACTAACCTTGCATTTTTTATATGTTTATTCCAGTCGTTATACTCAGCTTCGGAATTCGCCGCAAAATGGTAATGCTGTCCTTCGTCTTGTCTGTCGAACACTAGAAAATAGTAAGCCTCCAAAAATAAGAGCCGCCGTTCTTATAATTAAAATTAATTATTAGTGATGTGAGCAACGTGATGTGACTGATGCAGTTCACCTCCAGGCCCTTCTTAAGACAACTATAGCTATTACTAGAATCCCCCAGAGTTCGTCTTGCCAAAGTTGGTCATGATAAGTGTCAGTAATTGACATTTTTAATATTCGATGATGAATTTTATCCACCTTTAACAGTATCAACACTATACCGAATTAAGTATACCATGCATTTACACTTCATATAAACAGAATGCTGGAGGTAGTAAAAGTTCGTGGATATAAAGAGCTATACATAATTTTTATTTCGAAGCCCCGCCCAAAAATGCTCATGAAAATATCGTGATGAGGGAATTAAACTAATCAAAAGTTAACTCGTTTGTTGAACGTGACACGGTGCGACTTATTAATTACTGAATGAGGTCAAACATGATATGAAAAATAATCAATTTCAACGTTTAGTCTATAATTATTTGACGAACAGATCGTTAGTTTAATGAGGCTATGTGTTCGTTGTTGCATTGTGCATGTGCATGACGACATTTGGCGACGACCTCAATCACATGGTAGTGAAACGTAGCGCAAAACGTTTGTTTCCTGGGCACTTAGTTCGAACTGATAGGATAGAACTGATGATAGATAAAAAATAGCCTTTGCATCGTCGTTTGGAGTTAAAAAAATATCGTATTTTGCATATCTGTTTATCTTTTCCTTCTCCTGAAAGCCTGGTCTGTCATGACGGCAGGCCGGCATTACGATGAAAACAGAATATCACATTTTCACAAATTTTACTGATAAGAATGTGAACACATGGCGCGACATGATGGCGGCTACCTCAAGTCACGTGGACGAGTTTGTAATCTCAAAAGTACACATTTTTTTTGAAATGCAAATTTGGGACTTGAGGAAAAACTAGTAATATCTTTTGATTAATTATATTAGACCCATCAATATACAGCCAATCTTTAAAACGTAAAAGCTTGATGTTATGGGAATACGTGAAATCCATATTATAGAAGTAGTGATGTTTCAAAGACAGCCGGAGAGACATGTATAGATGGCATTTCCATATCAATATTGTCATATTTGCCAAGAGTCATTACGTCTTTATCTCATTTTTCTATTTAACCATCTGGCACTTAGTCTTAGATGATAGGCCAAATAAAACAAAAATTATTCCAGGCTATCAAAAGTCAGTTTAAGCAATTATAGAGCTCTTGAAATGAAGAAACATGACGCGAAACGAAACGTCTACAACACCAACTGCAGAATTTGAAAAATATTTGGAATATTGCGTTTGGGAGAATTTAAAGTTGTTACTTGTCACTGGCTTTCATTGCCGGCCATGCTATATCAACCATGTCGTCTGTTTAACTTACAATTTCATACAAACGCTCTTGATAATAGTTCTCAACTATCTAGCTATCCATGCGTTTTGGAAATCGCCGCAGTTAAAACGGAAAACTTCGTTTTTCGTTGTAATGGTTTTATCTTCAAACGACTTAGCAGCTGGACTCATTGCAGAACCGCTGTTTTTGCTACATCTGAGCAGGGAAATACGTGGAAATGAAAGATGTTTTAATGTCATGATGAGCAACCTAGCAATTGAAATACTTGTGTCTGCATCAGTTGTCACATTTTTGGCTCTAAATTTTGAAATATATTTGTCAGTCATACATCCAGTTTTTCATAGGGAAAAAGTAACGAATAGACGTATTTTCAAAATCGTTTTAATCCTTTGGTTTGTCCATTCGTTACGAGCCTACTTTTTTATATATTTCATCGATCAAGGAACAGTGAAAGTAATACAAACCGTATTTATAACACTAACTATGCTAGCAATGGTTTTTATGCATACAAGAATTTTTTTGGCAGTATATAACAGACGTAGGATTGACGTTATCACTGGTCGTGCAAACATTAAACGTCGAAAGGCTTTTCTGCAAGGAATACGCGATGCTAAACATGCTTTTTTGTTTTTTTGTACATTCAGTTGCTATCTGCCTTTCTGCCATTGAGGTTAGCTTGACGCCAAAAGCAACGTTTAAAGCAATCATTTTAAGTTCTTGGAGTACGACACTCATTTTCTCACTATCAGTTCTTAATTCCATCTTGTTCTATTGGCGCAAAGTTATTGCGGAAAGAAGCATTACGTTGTCTTCGAATAAAATTTTCACACTGATATTTAAAATACAAAGTAGTATACTCATGTAAGATATTTTGAACGTAGCATTTTAACCTATTCATATTTTCAATGTAATAATATTATGTAATGATATTTGAAATATTGGTGACAACGCGGGTCACATCAGCAAGACGAGTCTGAGGTCATTAATTAACCACCAATAATATGCAAATATTCATTCTCTTCTTTCAAAATATATTTACGAGAATATAAGAGTTCTGTATAACTATCATTAATTTTGCAGAAAGGCTGTTTGCATAATCAGATCGCAAGTTGTGCAGTTTGATTTT